CTGATTGCACAAAAAAGTCATCACCTGATAAAATTAAGTGGACAACTGAGTGTCAGACCGCCTATGATTTGTTGAAGAGTGCCTTAATGAGTGAACCTGTGTTGATAGCGCCCAATTTTGAGAAACCTTTTGTTTTAACCACAGATGCCTCCAAGGTAGGACTTGGAGCAGTGCTAGGTCAGGAAAACGAAGAAGGTGTGATGCAACCGGTGCTGTATCTCAGTAAAAAGCTAATAGAAAGGGAGCAGCACTTGTCAGTAATCGAAAGAGAGTGTTTGGTGATAGTGTGGGCTATCACAAAATTAAAACCATACTTATGGGGAAGAAGGTTTACTTTGTGCACTGACCATGAAAAAGTTATCAAAGTGCCAAAGTGGTGTGAATTCCTTATTAAAGGAAGGACAGTTTGTGGGATCTGTTTGACCCCCTGCCCAGTCGGCCATTGAAGGAGGATATTATAATTGGTGGCAGCGGTGGGATTGTTTGACCCCCTGCCCAGTCGGCCATTAAAAGTTGGAGTTATTATACACCTCATGTCAAGACTACAGCCAACACCACAAACTGGGTCCTCCTGATAGGTTCCTGATCCTTTTGGTCTAATTCATATACGACCACCATATTTACTAGATCCCAATATGAATTCAAAGCTTCCCTCTATGGCAGTGGTTCTCAACCTGTGGGTCCCCAGGTGTTTTGGCCTACAACTTCCAGAAATCCCAGTCAGTTTACCAGCTGTTGGGATTTCTGGAACTTGAAGGCCAAAACATCTGGGGACCCACAGGTTGCGAACCACTGCTCTATGGTAAAGGGATGGCTATAAGGATAGGCTAAAGGTACTTGTCCACACAGCTCTTTCCAAGAAATAATGGTACCTACTGGCACTACAACAGATAATGGTGAAGCGGAAAACAAACACCTAACCAGTAAAGTGGTGAACCGGACAAATGAAACCTGATATAGGAAAATGTCACCAAAGTATAAGATCCTGACACATAAGTGAACTGTAAGATCTGTTGCACATCTGCTCTAGGCTTACAAGGCATCCAACAGATGCAGTCACTGAACAGGGCATTTAAAGTAAGCCCCTGTTCAAGGACACTGCTGCTTTGCAGCTGCTGGCACAAGGGAAAGAACTGTGTCATCTTGACACCTGATCCTCTACTGCAAGAACACCAGCTACTTTCCCAGTGTAATTCAAAAATGGGGATGGGAGGGACCTGGATACAGAAGGCAGCATATCATTTAACTTGACTCAATGCACACACACACACACACGCATGCATGTACACACAGCAGATATGCAAGATTTGAGTAGGGACACTGAAAGACGTCAGGATCCAGTTGGCACCTGAATGGGACATCTTGCTCCCGTGTGTTGCTTATGAGCAAGATGTCAAAGAAATCCTGACCATGTTTTCTACGTGGATGTGATATGCAGCGAGCTGGCAATATTATTCAAAGCTGAAGCCTAAGTGTGGAGATTTCATATAGCAACCCTTGGTCATATTGTTTCCTTGCAAATGAAAGGGTAATTTCACAGAATGTAGGGTTTCTTAAGGTTGCTTCATATATTGTTCTTTGGAGTGTTTGGGACACAAGCTGGATGAGCGGGCAGATCTGGCGTGCATCACGGAGACCTGGCTGGACGAGGCTGGAGGTGTGAATTTAACCCAGCTCTGCCCGCCAGGTTTTTCCGTGCAGCACCAGCCGAGATCCGGAGGGCGAGGAGGCGGGGTTGCAGTGATCTATAGAGATTCAATCCCTCTGACCAGGGGCCCCATCCCGCAGTCAACAAATTTTGAATGCGTCCACCTGAGGGTGGGTGACCGGGACAGAATAGGGATTCTGTTGGTGTACCGTCCACCTCGCTGCACCACAGTCTCCCTGCCTGAGCTAGCGGGGGTGGTCTCGAGCCTGGCATTGGAGTCTCAGCAGCTCATTGTGCTGGGGGACTTCAATGTCCATGCCGAGGCGGCCCTTTCAGGAGCGGCTCAGGACTTCATGTCTGCCATGGCAACCATGGGGCTGTCCCAACAAGTATATGGCCCCACCCACAGTGCGGGACACACATTGGACTTGGTTTTCTGCCAGGGATGGGAGGAAGGTGGCGGTATTGAGGAGTTAACCATCTCTCTGTTGCCATGGACCGACCACTTCCTGGTCAGTTTTAGGCTCACTGCACCCCCTAACCTCTGCAGAGGTGGAGGACCCATTAAGCTGGTCTGCCCCAGGAGGCTTATGGATCCGGATGGATTCCTGATGGCTCTTGGGGAGTTTCCCGCCGCCTCGGAAGGTGATCCTGTCGATGCCCTGGTCGCTCTCTGGAATGGGGAGATGACTAGGGCAATTGACACGATCGCTCCGGAACATCCCCTCTCAAGTAGCCGAGCTAAACCAGCTCCTTGGTTCACCGAGGAGCTGGCAGCACTGAAGCGAAGGAAGAGGGAACTAGAGAGCGTGTGGCATTCGGATCTGAACGAGCCAAATCGAACACGGTTTGTGTCCTTTTCAAGGGCATATGCCACGGCAAAAAAGGCCGCGAAGAAAGCTTTCTTCGCGGCCACTATTGCGTCTGCAAAGAACCGTCCAGCTGAGTTGTTTCGAATTGTCAGAGGCCTTTTAAATCCCTCCACTCAAGGTGGGAACCCTGACAACTCGACCTCTCGCTGTGAAGCTTTTGCTCAGTTCTTTGCAGACAAAGTCGCTTTGATCCGCTCTGGTCTGGATACCACGTTAAAAGCAGTCTCTGAGGATGTAACACGAGCACCTGCTTGTCCTATTTTGATGGATTATTTTCAATTGGTAAAACCCGAGGATGTGGACAAGATACTTGGAGGAATGAGGCCCACAGGGGTCCATCCTAGATCCCTGCCCATCCTGGCTTCTAAAGGAGGCCAGAGGGGGATTGGCTGAGTGGGTTGAGGTGGTGAATGCATCCCTTCAGGAAGGCAAGATTCCGGTGAGCTTAAAACAAGCTATAATAAAACCGCTGTTGAAAAAACCATCACTGGACCCCACTAAATTTGACAACTTTCGGCCAGTGTCCAATCTCCCCTTTTTGGGCAAAGTCCTGGAACGCGTGGTGGCCTCACAACTTCAGGTATTCTTGGTAGACACGGATTATCTGGATTCGGCACAGTCTGGTTTCAGACTGGGACATGGTCGCCTTAGTGGATGATCTGCGCTGTGAGCTCGACAGGGGGAGTGTGTCCCTGTTGGTGCTGCTGGACCTCTCAGCGGCCTTTGATACCGTCGACCACGGTATCCTTCTGGAGCGCCTCGCGGGGATGGGACTCGGGGGCAGTGTCCTACAGTGGCTCCAGTCATTCCTAGAGGGCCGTTCTCAGAAGGTGTTATTAGGAGACACCTGTTCAACCCCACAACCGTTCCACAGGGCTCAATTCTGTCTCCCATGTTGTTTAACATCTACATGAAGCCGCTGGGAGAGATCATCCGGAGTTTCGGGGTACGGTGCCATCTGTACGCAGATGATGTCCAACTCTGTCACTCCTTTCCACCTGCTACTAAGGAGGCTGTCCAGGTCCTGAACCGGTGCCTGGCCACTGTAACGGTCTGGATGAGGGCGAACAAATTGAAATTGAATCCAGACAAGACAGAGGCACTCCTGGTTAGTCGCAAGGCCAAACAGGGCATAGGGTTACAGCCTGTGCTGGATGGGGTCGCACTCCCCCTGAAGACACAGGTTCGCAGCTTGGGTGTGATCCCGGATTCATCGCTGAGCCTGGAACCCCAGGTCTCAGCGGTGACGAGGGGAGCATTTGCACAGTTAAAACTTGTGCGCCAGCTGCGCCCGTACCTTGGGAAGTCTGACTTGGCCACGTAGTCCACGCTCTGGTTACATCCCGTAGACTACTGCAACGCTCTCTACGTGGGGTTGCCTTTGAAGACAGCTCGGAAGCTTCAACTAGTCCAATGCTCGGCAGCCATGATACTAACAGGAGCGGGACGCAGGGAGCATACAACCCCCCTGTTGCGCCAACTCCACTGGCTGCCGACTTGCTACCGGGCTCAATTCAAAGTGCTGGTGTTGACCTTTAAAGCCCTAAACGGTTCCGGCCCAAGCTACCTTTCCGACCGCATCTCGGCCTATGAACCCACCAGGACTTTGAGATCTTCCGGGGAGGCCCTGCTCTCGATCCCGCCAGCTTCACAAGCACGGCTGGCGGGGACGAGAGACAGGGCCTTCTCGGTGGTGGCTCCCCGGCTGTGGAACGCCCTTCCCACAGAGATTAGATTAGCACCATCTCTAATGGTCTTCCGCAAAAAAGTAAAGACCTGGTTATTTGTGCAGGCGTTCGAATAATCAATGCTAGACTGGTAATGACATAGGAATGGAACAATGGATGACAAAGCTGGATCATGTTTTAGTGACATAATGCTAGTGAATGGTTATCTTAGTAATTGTGTATTAATTGTGTATTAGATTAGGCTATTAACTGTTTTATAATGGTGTTTGAATTCTGCTGTGTTCTGTGTCTTGTGAAACGCTGTGAGTCGCCTTCGGGCTGAGAACAGCGGTATAGAAGCAAAGTAACTAAATAAATAAATAAGCTGAAGACTCGAAACTTAAATGCAGAGGAAACAGAGAAACAGTTACCATGGGTTCAAAACCAATAGGGAGTAGCAGGTAATTCTATACCTATCTGTAGTTCATCATACTCTTCTTTTTCACTTTTTTGTTTGCAAAGGTTCAATATTGATCCTTCAAATGGTTCATCATCATCACTACTATTTAGTGATAACTTGCTTTTTCATAAATAAAAACGGAAAAAAACCCTTTAGTTAAGATGCTGCCCATTTGTTAAGTAACCCAGCATTTCCCATCTTATCACAAATGAGCTACTTTCGGTGAGATTTTCCACCATATCTTTTCTGTCTATCCCCAAGGCAAGCTGGTTCACTATTTTTGGTTAGCGTGAAGAAAGGAGAAGACGGCTCTAGATATGTAAATTAACTTGGAAAATGGAAAGGCACAGACATTTAGGGAAAGAAAAATTTATTTTTAAGCTTCTATGAGGGTTTTTACAAACAGAATAAAAAAAACCTTTCAAAAGTAATGATGAATGTAATTTGGTTTACACTACTGTTGGTGTGTTTTAAATCCAAAAGATCCACTGAAATTGACCAGACGGACCTAACTATTCGGAGGCAGGCAACTAATTCTGACAAACTGCCTGGACTACAGGCAGGGAGGGAGGGTGATGACAAGCAAAGTAAAAGCCCTATTTGGGATCTTAGCACAGGCCAATTGATGGACAATAAGATTCAGGACACAAAACACACCGTGAGAGATGGTTAGCAAACAAGAAATGGAAACAGATGGCCAAGAGCTGTCCTATGCTGCTGGGTTAAACCTATAGGATGGACTTAGCCCCACAGGACACAGAAAAGAACATCTCACACAGATACCTGGATACATTCAAGGAGGTACTACTAGCCAATTGCTTTTAAAAACTGAAATTACAATTGAAAATCAGAAGGAAAAGATATCTGCATGTTTCCAGATTTCTCCCATCTACACAAGCTGTGAGCTCAATCTACCAATTGGCCAATCACACACAGAGAACGTGATCAGACGATCTAGAATAGTATACACTGTCTGGGTTTGAAATCAATTGAATGCAAACTGTGGAATATTCCCCTTCTCAAACTCGAGGATCTGCTTGTTTGGAGACTACTGTGCAAATTTTCTTAGGATAAGCCACTTCTGTGTAGACACAGCCTCCACTCTGTTATAACAGTATCTTATATGCCTGCCACATGGACTGTTTCCATGTCTGTGATGGATGCTTTTGGAAACATCAGGTGCTGGTGAGAACAAGAAGATTGTACAAAGGATTATGCCAGAGTGAGGAGAACTGCCACATTAGGGAGTGGTTTGCTGTGTCAATAAGCAACATAAAGATAGGCTCTATGCAAAGAGGGGGATTATGTTATTTGAACAGGCATATCCAGCTTCCACAACCTTTTTAAGTAAATCACTCGTGCACTTTGGCATAAATACCATTGCTAACTTTAAAACAGTTTGGTTTTCAGCTCCAATGTGGAAATAGAACCTAATATGTTTTTTTAAATCTTACACAAGGCATACATCTATATAAGTTGTGTATTCCTTATCCAAAATTCTGAAAACCCAAATACTCCAAAATCCAAAATTAATCACATGGGTGGCTAAGATGGTAACAGCTTTACTTTTTGCTGGTTCAGTGTACATAAACTATTTAATGCTCTTATTAAAATATTATATACATCATCTTCAGGCCATGTGTATAAGATGTGTATTAAGTGTAACTGAATTTCATGTTTGAATTTGGGTCCCTTCTCCAAGATGTTGCATTATGTAAGTATGTGCAGTAAAGATATTCTAAACTCCAAAATATTTCTGGTCCCAGATACTTCAGATAAGAGATACTCAGCCTGTATACAGAGTTGTAGGCTTTGTTTTTATAAAAGGTTATCTTCACTTGATCTTAGCCAAAGGGGCTGAGAGGTGGCCTTCACTCACTCAAAAGGTTACCTTCATGAAAGATAATAAGACATGACTACCCTTCAGACTTGATAACAAAAATGATTGAGAGATAATGCAGTTCCTCTACACCAGAGCTTTCTAAATTGTGTCGGCTGCAGTGCATAGATGTGTCACACGAACATAACGAGACTATGTGAAATAAGCAACAAAACATGTATTTCAAAAAACATAAATGAAAGATTTTCATGAGATATACTGTGCCCCCATTCATTTTGTTATTACAATTTATGTATATAGTGTGTCCATATCTTTTTTATAAGATTAGTTTAACCTGTTTGCTAGTAAAATTGAATAACTGTGTTGCAAAATGATGCACGTCTAAAAAGGGAGTCACCAACATGAAATGCTTGGAAACCTCTGCTGTAGACTGAGAAGTGTCCAAAATAGTAGTCTCTCTCAGATCATGAATTGTCAGAATAGGAACCAACTCTCCTGAAGTACAGTCACTATGAAGTTTCTTGCATCTCCCTGTTTTATACTGTACACCACTTTAACATAATTTCTATGTTCTACTCTTGGAAGCTGTGAATCTTACTGATGCCAGGTGAAATTTACTACTAAGTACAATGGCTGCAACAGAGGAATAATGCTCTCTCCCTACTTGGGAAGTACCAGGGGATGTCTACCATCTCTCCTTCCTGCTGATTTACTGGCCAATGAATGTTTTAATTCTCTCAGCTGTCTTCAACTGTTTTATAATGTTGAATATTCTCAAATTCCTGATTGCTCCTCTTGTAAATCAGGTGTCTGAAAGAAAATCTAAAACCAACTGCACTAAAATAATGTCTTTTCCCCCTTAAAAGTTGTGTTGATTACTGAACACAGTGTTTGCTGTACACCAGAAGTCAGAAATCAGTAGACAAGCAAAAATAATCAAGACAAGCTTAAGGGTTTAAAGCAAATGTCATGTTTGTTCAAAACAAAATTTGGTCAATCCACATAATTATGACTATCCCAAATTACAACCTTGATCTTTCTCCTCATACTATGAGTAATTTCACAGGCTCCGTGAAGCTTGAAAGCCAGTAGAGCAGAAATAAATCCAAGGCTCAACCCTGTCCCCTTCTTTCCGTTGTTTACAATCTAGCTTTGCCCAGGTTCCTTGGGCAATAAAAGGACAGGCCACTGAACCTTGGTGATTCCAAATTTACAAGATCCCAGGATCTCTACTGCCCACATATGGAGCCCTGCAAAACTTCATCTTTTGGGATTTATTTGGAAAGCAGCCTGACGAGGGCAGCCAGGTCCATCTGCTCTCCTTCCCTTCTCCACTTTGATCAACAGCCTACTTGGCAAATACTATCACTGAAAAATACACTCTCTGGAAGAAAAGGGACATTTAAAAAATAAATTAACACACACACACAGTTCCCCATGGGCAATAAATAAATGTTCACAAAAGTAGCTTTGATTACTTGGAACTAACAAGAGGGAGGTTGGTTGAACAAGTAAAGCTGAACTGAAACCGTCAGACTGCTCACAAGAGTATAGCGTTGTCCAGGTGGATTTCAGTGGAACAAAGCTCTCAGGAGTTTCCATCATGTAGATTTCCAGTTTGACAGGCCAGCAAAGATTCGGTATTTAAGAAGACAGATGCAAATTGGCTACAAGTTTTATGTTGGCTGCAACTAAAGTCAATTCTGATGCTGCTCATTCATTGCTCTGCTCTCAAACCCCCTACAAAACTTTGGATAACCCATGGCCTTTTAAATGAAAAGGCAGCAAAGTGAGAGTTTGGTGGCTTTCAAAAACAAGACAAAATACAAAACAAAATCAAGCCGCCGCTAAAGCTTAAGGTGTTCAGGCAATCCTGAATCAATACAAGTGACCAGATTTACAAGTAATCCAAAATTAAAGTCCCTTTCCATATAAGATAGTTATTTCTATTTACTTTAACATGCAAATTTATAATATATGATATATAGAGAATATAGTGAAATGCTAATGCCTACAATATAACCATCTACCCAGCTAGTCTCTGCCTTACCTTTGGCATGATTTTTTTTACAGTTTTGTTTGTTTTAAAATCCCCCATTTGAATTGCATGCACCACACGCTGCACACATGTGCCCCACCCAAGCCCAATAGCCCCACACACTTTAAGAGCAGATGTCAGGCAGGCGATTGTAAACATTTAGCCATCCGGATTAAAAATAACATTAACAAAGATTTGTTCTAAATTAATACATTTAAAAAAATAATTCTAAAAATGCAATAAAACTGCATTTTTTTCAATTTTACTTGAAAAGCTATCCCGTGTTTTTGAATAGTTTAAAAAGCCTTTAACACCTTTCCAAACCCAACCCACACAGGCTAAATTTTAGCCTGGTTTAGAGAGTGTCTTCCATATTTGGAAGTTGGCCAATCTCCAAGTAAGAAAGGGGTCTTTTAATCTTCCAGATGTTTGAGACAACATTTCTCACAACTCTTTGCCCGATGGCCATGGCAACTACAGGTTCTGGGAATTGAAGTCCAAAACATCAAGAAGAACAGAGATTATTCTTGCTTTCTCTTGAAGTCAAAAGGAAGAGGATTTTCAAGAGGCGAGTCCTTTCAGGATAGTTTGCAACTAGGAGGTTGAAGTGTAAAAGCAAACAGAATACTGCACCCACACCAATATATGTTAGGGAACCAAGACAGCACTTCTATATTTTGCCTCCTACTTGACAACCTCTGTAGCAATGGCCATATCATTCTCAATCACTGACTGGAACATACTATAAATAATTTCAACCATTTATTTCCTATAGTTCTTTGCCTGAAACAAAGTATTTTTTCAGGTTAAATGAAATATATCCTATCTAGAATTCACTCTTGGAGCACTTGCATAATTCTCACAATACTTTTCCTAATACATATCCTATTATCCTGTTCTAGCACTTTACAAAGCCATTGTCCAACTTCCTCTATGACTCATTAGGACTCTATATATTCATGTAAAAATCAATGTCATGTATAAGTTGAAGGCAGGTTTTGGGATCAAAGTCCTTGATTTTGATATGTGGAAAATTTGGGGAATGGCAGCTACTGCCATCACTTTCCTGCTCAGGCATTCCTAAAGGCCTTTCATCACTCTATTCAGAGACAGGAATGAGGTATTTCATAAAAGTTAAGGTACATGATTAATTCTCATCTCAAAAAGTGGGAATCAAGCTTTCTCTGAGCAGAGTTAACAAAAGGATAGGGCTTCGTTCATCCCAGGAGAACCTAGAAGAAGCAACAAGCCCTTCTACTCTTGTAGCGCTCCTTTCCCCACCCAGACATTCAGTGCCACGGCAGAGAGGACGGAGCGATCCGGTGTTTCTTTCAGGTTCCCCTGGAACAGACTAAGTCAGTGGTTCTCAACCTGTGGGTCTCCAGGTGTTTTGGCCTATAACTCCCAGAGATCCCAGCCAGTTTATCAGCTGTTAGGATTTCTGGGAGTTGAAGGCCAAAACATCTGGGGACCCACAGGTTGAGAACCACTGGACTAAGCTCTTGCCATCTGCCACTCTACTTGGAAAAGGAGATGGTTCCTTTTTTTAAATAAGAGTCAAGATACAGAACATACATTGTCCCATGGATGAATCAATCCAGTTTTTGGGGTCAGTTTTTAAACTAACATTTCTTGACTTATACACAAGTATATACAGTAATGACTCAAGTAGGCAGATACTACTGTGACTGCACTGAAGCAGGGCTCAAGGGCAAGACAATCCAATTCCCCTGGAGCCTCTGCTGGTCACTACTAATAAATATTGGAAGTATTCAGTGCCTGAAAAGCCATGCCACTCCTTTTATTGTTAGGACAAAAGTCGGTTTCACAGCAAGCTCTACTCTGAAGATCCTCTGACCAATTTGGAGTGGTGGCAGTGCCAGCTATCATATCATGTGTCATCACTTCTCTGTCAACTAGTGTGTTTACTTTGCTAGAGTACTTTTAACAGAGCAAAGTAAGATCGAAGTCAAGCAGGAAAGCCAAAAGATTAAAGAGGACATGGCTACTTAACTGGTTCCTAGGAGAAAGTTTATATTCACTACCTTTATCCTTTAGTTAACTTTCCTTACACTTTGCATTTAATCTCAATGTTCAGTGTTGAACACTCAGCCCAGTTCCACTCCTATCTAACACTTGCTCTTCTTCAACTTGGACCTATAATTCCACCTTCCATCTTCAAGACTGCTTTACTCCTCACTTTCTCCAACATCTCCTTATTCCCGTGTTTCACTTCCCCACCAAAAGAATACCCAATATAGTCCCTTTAGACATCTGAACTTGATCTACCTTCCAAGACAAGTTCTCCAACCTGATAGTAAAATGCAGAGCAAAATGGCAGACAATTGACATTCTGTCACTTGGAAAGCTAGCCTTCCCACTTAACATCAGATTGGGACTTCTAACACAACCCTACTAATGCACTTCCACAAGACCAGTCATTTTCTGGGGTCACCCAATATACTCTGAATTTCGCATCAAATCTTTTAGTCCCTTCACTATGGCTTTCAATACATATATCTATTACATCTGTCCCAACCTTTCTTAGGCTTCAAATGCTGTCATTTTGCCATCTGCAATGCTCTTTTCATTATTGCATGGGAAAAGCTTTAGATACTGCACTCTTCTCTGTGCCCTTTTTTCAACATCCTACACAACCACAATTCCAAACATCATCTTTTGTGGATTATTATATCAGAAATCAGGAGTTGGATACTGCAAGTGACTCCCTATTGACTTAACAGGGGAACTGCAGTATAAGCTAATCAGGATTGCTGTGATAAACAGAGGGGAGTGTAACAACCCAACTTTTGGTACTGGCTTTCTAAACTGTGTACTGAGTAGAGATGGGAAAGCCTGCGCGTGGGGGTGGAAAAATGGGGGGAAAGTTTTTCCTCAATTTTTCTGTTTTGTTTTTTTCCAGGCCTTCCCATCTCTAGTAATGAGCAAGCCTGAAATATACATCTGAACTGGGCTATAATGTTTTTGGATAGTTTAAATTCCTAGGGGTTCGGGGAAGGCACTGCAGTGAACCCAACTACAATCCACTGAGAAGGTATATGAAACATCTTTGAAAAGAATTCATCTTCGAAAGTAAGTATCTCTCAGACTCTCTCTGCCTAGTGCTATCTTTTTAGACATTCTTGGAGCAACATCTGACTTGGTCTGCTCCTATTCACCTCCCATTAAAAAAATCCACACACCAGTATCCCCTCCTTACTTCAACATTGCTTATGCCCACCCAAACTCTAAACCTTCTATCTTAGCCCTCTGCATTTTCCCACCAGTTCCTCACTTCTCACTATCCTCTCTAATACAAGATATCACTCTTTATAAAACGTGCCACATGCTATTTCCTTCTTGATACAGATCAACTTGCCTTTAAAGCCTGTATGTAAGATAATGGCCTTTCTCTATATTCTAAAAAAAGGTTCCCATGTTAACAATCACTACTGAAACCAGTACAGAAACATAATTTCTATTTGTTACCATTATCCAGGTCATCTGAAGACTTCCAGCTTTCATTAAACAAGCACTACCTCTTTGGTATTTGGCATCCTTTGCCAACAACTGTCCAATCCTGAAAATCCCCAAAAGGCCATATATGCTTTGCAGGCGTGCTTGCAAGGCACACAAGATCAACCACCAAACCCATTGCTCCATCAGTCTATTTGACATTTTGGACTCTCACTCCTAAGTGCTCTTTCAGTCATCTCTGTAAACCTGTTCCTCCTTACACTAATTCTACCACTGAGCACATCCAATATTTACTTCTCCGTTCTAGCAAACACAAATGCTCATTTTGGAAATGGCCAGAACACAGATAAAATTTTAGATGAAGATTACGCCATTCCAGAGAGTGACACCAGTCAAATATCTTTGGATAATCAATTACTATAGTTGCAACTCGTTTTCAGGACATGCCAAGCAACTCATGACCTCAAATCTTGGGGTTTTTTTTTCTTGCCTGGGTCATGAATCAAAGCAATCAACTAAAGGATTAGATAAATAGGAAGAAAAACATACCCAAATCATCCCTAGGCAAGAGAAAGCAGGAATACATCTCACCTTCAGGTTAACATGCAGTGCTTGAGGGTTGCATGCTAGTCTCTACGCTACCATATAAACTGAAATTGTTACTGGGAGACTGACCCAACAAAAAACCCAGGACCCATTCCCATAGCATTTGGCCACCTCCCATTCTCTCTGTTGCTGGTGGCAATGAATGATCATGACTTCAGTGAGCCAAACACCTTGGTTCCTGTGCCATGAATGTGGGAATGCTTGCCTGCCCATGAGGCACCTTTGAATTAGGAGGTGACTGGATTCTGTTCTGTTTCTCTTTCCTTCTTGTGAAATCACTAAAAGGATAGAAACTCTACTTGTAAAGCAGAGGAGGATTGAGGCTGCATTTGTTTTCATCCTCCAAACCTTTTGGATTTTTCTGGATCTCACTTCTGAGAATCTACACATTTTGTGAATCCAAAGACATTGTAGATTCTATTCAATGATCTCCAAAGAGCAAACTGACTATTCTTCAACTGGAAACACAGGTTACCAGTCAAGAATCTAGCCCAGTAAGTCCACAAGACTTACAAAGAATATAAATTTGTTACTAACTAGTTTTTTTTTTAGAATCCCTAAGAAACAGCACTTAACATACAATTTGGGCTGAATCTCTTTTTTTAATGGCTTTCTTGATGCCAGGATTATCTTTAAGCTTTGCTTTTCTTTTTCTTAAATACTGCAAGAAAATAGAAAAGCATTTATCCTAGCACCAAATACACACTTTGGTAAATAAAACACCACTGACAAAACTTTGTTCGCACTCAAAAAAAGAAGAAAAGGAACCCCTGAGATCAAAAAGAATTGATGATGGAAAAAAATCACTCTAACCGAGCTACTCTTGGGTGAGAATAATCTTCAAACCTTCCCTTTCCTGTCCTCACAGTCCTAAGGAAAAAAATGTAACCAAGACAACAGCAACAGCTAAGCTCAGAAACTAAAGCAGCAGCTGACTCCTCTACCCCAAGCCCCATTTCCCCTCAGCAAATACAAACCTAAAACACAAACAAAAATAAAACGAAAGAAAGAAAGAAAACATGTAATAACACAAGGATTGATGAACGGGTGCAGCAGACAGCCCACAGCACCAGAAGTCTAAACTTAATAAATAAGTGGTAAAAAAATCTTTTCTTTTTTTTTCCTTTTGTGTGTTTTGTGTCTGTTCATAGTGCGTGAGCAAGGGTCACTGTTACATGCCCTTGAGTCTCCAGTCGTGGTGGAGAGAGACAAGCAGGGAGCACGGTGTCGTTCGGTGGCAACTCCTGGTGGCAGGCGCTCAGCCCCAAATCCATACAAGCGCAAGCTGGAAAGAGCCTTCTTGCCCAGAGCCTTCTATTCTTAGGCTGAGTGGTGCCCAAGATGTAAAAGGCATACATCCAGAATTTCAGAAAGACCAGACAGCCATCCCAACTCTTCCTGGCAATGTTGAAGGAGAAGACAAAATGGGCGAAAAGGATGACAGAGCAGGTGAAGCACAGACATTGAATGCCATTGAAGAGTTGCTCTTGTGAAGGTAGGTGCCTGCTGGGGTGCTTTCTCTTGCCCCACCTCAGGAGCTCTCTGTCTGCCAAGGAACTCCCTCTCCTCGGCACAGCAGCCACGCTGCTACCTGGCTACCTGGTGAAGAAGGGCAGGTGGTGTTGGCTGAGGATGCTGCTCGTGCGGGGGGACTCTGTCTTCGCCATGACATCTTTGAACCAGGAGGCCACATCCACTTCCAGTGTCTCATAACGCTTGATGAAGTTGTGTTCCTGTAAAGGAAGAGGGGAAACAAGTTGGATAAATACCTAACTGCAAAATGCATACCTTGTCAGCTTTTCTTGCCGTCTTTTGAATTGATGGGCAGACTATAAATTTCGAATACATACAAACATATTTTTACGAAGTGATGGGACAACTATTAGCAAGTGTGGCAGCCTGGAACAAGCATACACACACTACAAGACTGAGTGTAGGGGGGATCACAGAGATGAAAGTAATCAGAGATACCTTGCTTTCAGAAATGAGCTGTAGGTAGGTAAGGCTAGCTCTTAATTTATGCCAGATTTCAAGCTAGTCAGCACACATAAGTGCAGCTAAATGCTGTTGGAATGCATACTTCTGAAAAATGTAAAACATTTTGCCAAACTCTAAGGAAATAAGAGTGTGGTTTTATAGTGATTGTAATGTTTTTAAAATGTTTTAATGTATTTGAAGAAATTTAATTTTATTTTTGGTTGATGGTTCTGATGTCTGTTTTTATATATTGTTATACTGTTGGTATGCATTTTAATGTGCTATATTTTAACTGTTGATTGGGCTTGGCCCCATGTAAGCCGTCCCGAGTCTCTTTGGGGAGATGGAGGTGGGATACAAAAATAAAGTTATTATTATTGTATTATTGTTATTTCAATTTTGATCTTAATTTTAATTTAAATGTTTATTTTAATTTATATAGTTGTTAAGGCATTGACTTGTTGCCTATCTGTAAGCCGCCTTGAGTCTCCTTCAGAGTCGATAAAGGCAGGCTATAAATATAGTAAATAAATAAATACGTAATATTTACAATACGTCAAATACTCACAAGTAGTTTGTTGTACTTTGGTCTCTTCCTGTGATCTTTAGTAAGGCTGATAAGAAAAAACACACATTCAAACCAAAAATCCCAACGAATCATTGTCATAGTACACAAGTAGTAATTTAGTAAACAAATCAGAGATCTCCATCATTTATTGATTAAGGTATTTCTTATCCATCCCATATCAACATATTTTACAATAAGAGTACAGTTTGTGAATCCCTAGCCATATTCAACCAATATGGGTCTACCCCAGTGAGTGAATAGGCAAATTTTAAGTTGCAAATTAAATAAAGATCATATTTACATCAGCCAAAGTGACAAGTGGAGGGAATTCCACTGCCAGGGAATTACAAATTGGAAAGTTTTGGCAGTCACCTGCTGAGAGTCAGGTGGCATTTGTACCACTTTACTCACCAGTCTTTCACAAATGACTGGAAATCCACAGAAAATCCCATATTATTTGGGAGAAGAGGAGGATCTTCCTGCAAAACCTTGGTAAGGACCTCAAAATCTGTTTTGCAGTTCTTGTAAGGGAACTGCCCTGTAGCCAACTCAACCTGAATTGAGGATGGAAAAAAATAATGTTAGAAATTGGTACAGTTGAGCAAGAAACATGGACAAGTCATCTGCCCACATCCTCATTCAGCCATGGAAACCCACTGGGTGACCTCAGGCAAGTCACGCTCTTTCATTCTCAAAGGAAGGCAAAGACAACCCCTCTGAACAAATCTATCCAAGAAAATGTCATGACCAAGGTTCCCTATAGTTCAGAAATGACCTGAAGACATACAATAATATACATACACATATGCACATACAAGACATAGTTGGGTTAATAAAATTGCTTTAAGTTTTAATGCACTCTTTGCACCATTCCAGCCACATAGAAAGTTGCCTTAAAATCATGGTTTATGCTTTAAAGATTGGAAAAAAAGTTTGACTTACCAAAGAGATGCCGAGGCTCCACACATCTGCACGGATATCATAGTCTGGTTTCGAAGGATCAGGGGGATCTATTCTCTCAGGCTAAAAATAAAAATGCTGTTAGAAACTCAAAGAACATTGTTTTGCTACTCATTTCCCATCTCAACCTACTAAATCCAAGCCAAAATACAGTTCTGAGAAAACATAGGTAACTGCATGATACAGCATATTTTCCAAACATTCAGGATTTTAGTGGCCATCTTTCTTAGTACAAAGAATAACAGTCCCAGAGAAAGTCTTAGGCCCATACTATATGTCAGGTGTTAACAGTAAGCAGGTCTGGAATAATATATAAGCCAGCCCAAGCAACATGGAGGAAAGGGGGTTGACTGCCCAAACAAACTTATCCAGTCAGAAATTACACACAGATTTCCTGGTGATGTTGCCCAACTGGCCCTCCAATTCTTACCGCCATATATGCTGCACAACCAGCGCTTCGGGTTTTGGCTTTTGAATCTACCAGCCTCCCACTGATCCCGAAGTCACACAGTTTGATTTGCCCCCTCTCATCCAACAAGATATTGGAAGGCTTCACATCTCTATGGATGACACCATGCTTCTCTTTCAGATAGTAGAGTGCTTTCACAATCTGCAAACAAACAGACAAACAAAGCCCAAACAATTTACTGTAAATCAAAATGGATGAAATGTGGTTCTGTGGTCATCATAGGTGTCTCTTCAGTACAATTTCTCCTAATTTCCATGATTCCCTGAGGGCTGTGCTTCTCAAAGTGGTTGTCCAGGGTTGATTTGTGACCCTTCAAATGACAGGCCAGATCAAGTCTTCAGGGAAATCATGGAAGGGAGAAAGAGAACTACTCAAGAGAAATTTGGAGGGAAAAATTAAAAGATAATATAAAATGGCCAAGCTGTCTAATGGACTGCGAGGTAAAAAGAGTGAAGAATTTGTAAACAAATGGTGGCTGAATTTTGCATATCTTGGAAAGAAGGCAAAATGTCAACTTGAAAGACAGCAACATCTTTAAAGGGGAACTATTTAAGGCACTTATATGGGTAGGTATCAGGGTACAGGTAAACTATGACAGTTAAAAATCTAGGAAAAGTTCAAATAATATTCCCAATTGTAGTTCATATATTTACACACAGAGTGTGAGGAAAAAATTGAATGGGTCAACTTTGTAACAAACCATGGGGGAATTGTTGTTTTGGAGTTGTTGTTTTTTTGTCTTATGAGGGAAAGCAACTACAATGGAGAAGGGGTGGGGAATCTGGTGGGGCAGTTAAACAGTTCCCATTAATGTATTAATCATTAGTCAGAGAGTATGCCGTGGACATTCAGATTCACAGGAGCACATGAGGAAAGAGGAGGCAGCTAAACACAGACATTTTATCCTCCATTCGTTTTTTTTCATTTTTGATTTCAAATGAACTTTGGAACTTTAACAGCAGTTGGGGTGTATGTGTGGGGAAAAATGTGAAATAAAAACCTGCATGATGCAGCTTAGAAGCCGAATAAACCTGAATAATGTGGGCACTTGTTGCAAAGATGAAGTTTCCAGATCCCAGCCATTTTCTATATTGCAAATATAGGATATAGTAGATAGCTTTCTGACTTTCTGAGAGAACACACTTCTTAAGGAACACTTTGTTCCCATCAGAGATTCTGCAAAAGAGATTTCAAGCACTCACCGCCACAGTCATCTTTCCTAAGATCCTCTCAGGGATAGGTCCCTGAATGCGTTTTTTCAGCTTCTCTGCACATGTCCCCATTAGCTCCATGGCTATAAAAACATCAGTCTAAATAGCAAAAAAGAAAAACAAAACAAAGGCAATTCTTTTAAGACAATCAAATTACATTGAAATATAAAATCAAACTGGAGAATATCTTAACACTGGATTCATTTACATTTGTGATGAAAGTCCCAAAGCACTGAACAATGTAAGGACAGTCATGGCTCTTCAGCACTACATCCAGGTCCATTAGGATCCTCTTGTTCTCTTCTTTGTTACCAGAACGACGCATTTGCTGAGAATAAGCAAACAGAATGTGACATATGTGAGCAAAGTGGTAAGACTGAGAAGGTGCATCACAGTCCATAAATTCTTCATGAGAGTTCAAGGAGTCTCACTATGCCCTATACAGGAATTTAAAGTCATGGCAAGCAATTTATCCCATCCTTTCTGTCCCTTCTCCTTCAGCTGCTGCAACAAGAATCAAGTCCTCCTGCCTCCTCAAACATTTACCTGATAACCAGTACAATCCCTGAAAGATCCTGTCCAGTCTCTTGCAAACATTTTCCTTTTGGTCTAAAATACCTATACCTCAGCACCCAAGTAGATTTGTCTCACCTTTACAGCTATGATGTGTCCTGTCTTCTTGAAACGCATTTTCCATACCTGTCCACAAGTCCCACTTCCAATCTCACCCAGATTTTCTAGGTCATTGATTTCTGCTTGGTATCTCTGTGAAAAGATGAGTACATAGAGCTCAGATACACATAATGATGCTGTTTATCAATCAGATGCATATGGAGGGGAGAGTGGCTGTTTTTTATATTAAAAACAGATGGATTAAGATATTTTGAATTGTTCTATCTCTCACCTCAGTTGCTAAGATGTATCTAATGAAACTGCAATGCCTTGAGAAGGGTTTTGTTTTGGGAGGATCTATTTTTTCTATGATAATTAAAACAATAAATATAAAAATAAACCATAACTTAAATTTTTTTTCTCATTCACCAACCCTCTACTTCCTTGATCATAGACTTGTACAAAATACTTACTTCCCTGTCAATTTTACGTATAATCTTTCCTCGACTTGTCTATTTGCATTAATAATATTCATATTTTCACTTAGTCTTTTATTCAAAATCTCATCTAATCTAACAGTGGTTTAAATCTGCTATTGCTCTGACACATATAACTAATAAAGGCTTTCCAAACAGCTATGAATAAATTTTCTTTTATTTCTCCTCTCCCTAATCTGACTTTATGTGTTAATTTTTCAGATCAAGCTAAGCCCTAAGAACTGAACAAGGAAGTCAAAAATAAGGGCAAGTAAAATGTGTTTTAATGAAAAGATTACTACTGATATGGAATAAATTTTGGGGTGCACAAATACTGTAGGCCACTTTCATTTGCACTATAATGAAGAGGAATAAAAAGGAAACGATACATAGGTCCCACAACCCTCCCCATTTGAAAGTGCAAATTGAGCCATTATAGATCGAATTAATGGGACATCCAGCTTTCCATCCTGTTCCCAAAAAAGCACCTGTCTTAAATAGCATTTCAGTGTGGTATGAACATTGTTCAGGCGGCAGCAACAAAGTATAACCCAAAGAAAAAGAAAACCAAGAAGGCAAGATGAATGTCTGCTGAGACACTGGAAGTAGCCCAAGAAAGAAGGAAAGCAAAAAAGAACAGTGATAAGGGGAGATATGCCCAATTAAATACAATTCCAGAGGTTAGCCAGAAGAGACAAGGAACTATTTTTAAACACTTAAGGCATAGAAGTGGAAGAAGACAACAGAATAGGAAGGACAAGAGACCTCTTCCAGAAAATTGGAATGAAAATGGACATGATAAAAAAACAAAGATGGCAAGTACCTATCAGAAGCTTAAGAGATCAAGAGAAGGTGGCGAGACTATACAGAAGATCTGTATAGGAAAGATAATAATATCGAGGATAGCTTTGATGGTGTGATGAGTGAATTAGAACCAGACATCCTGAGGAGTGAGGTTGAATGGGACTTAAGAAGCATTGCTAACAACAAGGCAGCAGGAGATGACGGGATCCCAGCTGAACTGTTCAAAATCTTGAAAGATAATGCTGTCAAGGTGATGCATGCCATATGCCAGCAAATAGGGAAAACACAAGAATGGTCATCTGATTGGAAAAAATAAACTCATATCCTCATACCAAAAAAGGGAAATACTAAAGAATGCTCGAATTTTTGTATGGTTTGAGCACTTATTTCACATGCCAGTAAGGTAATGCTCAAGATCCTGCAAGGAAGACTCTAGCAATACATGGAGCAAGAGGTGTCAGATGTACAAGATGGGTTTAGAAAAGGTAGAGGTACGAGAGACCAAATTGCCAATATCTGCTGGATAATGGAGAAACGCAGGGAGTTTCAGAAGAGTATCTATTTCTGTTTTATTGACTATCCTAAAGCATTTGACTGTGTGGATCATAATAAAAAGTTCTTGGTGGTATGGGGATACCAAGCCACCTTGTCTGTCTCCTGAGGAATCTGTATAACGACCAAGTAGCAACAGTAAGAACAGACCATGGAACAACCGACGGTTTCAAGATTGGAACAGGAGTATGGCAGGGTTGTATACTCTCACCAAACCTATTCAACCTATTGTATGCAGAACACATCATGCAACATGTGGGGCTTGACAAATCCAAGGCTGGAGTTAAAATTGCTGGAAGAAATATTAACAACCTTAGATATGCAGATGATACCACTTTGATGGGTGAAAGCGAGAAGGAGCTGAGGAGCCTTCTAACCAAGGTGAAAGAAGAAAGCGCAAAAGCTGGGTTGCAGTTAAACATCAAAGAAACCAAGATTATGGCAACCAGACTGATTGATAACTGGCAAATAGAGGGAGAAAACGTGGAGGCAGTGACAGACTTTGTATTTCTAGACGCAAAGATTACTGCAGACGCAGACTGCAGCCAGGAAATCAGGAGACGATTACTTCTTGGGAGGAGTACAATGAACAATCTCAATAAAATAGTGAAGAGTAGAGACATCACATTGGCAACGAAGATCCACATAGTCAAAGCAATGGAATTCCCCGTAATAACCTATGGATGTGAGAGCTGGACCATAAGGAGGCTGAGGGAAGGAAGATAGATGCTCCCTTCACCAGGACCAACCAACTCATGTTGTTTCACAATTCCAAAATATCATCGTTTCTCTTGCTGGCTTATACCCCTTTCCTTCATTAAACACATACTCAATAAATTTTCCCCATATTTTCCAAAAGTCTGTTTGTTTACATATTCCCATTTTAATTTTAATATTGCAAGTTAGCTTATCATTAATCGCTATATTCCAAATTTCCCTATACCATTCTTCTAATTAAATTTCTTTTTTTTCTTTCCAGTTTTTTGCTATTAACAATTTAGCTGCTATTATCAAATTAGAAACCAATTCTTTCTCCTCTTGTAAGGGAATTATATTATCATGTATAAGTAATAATGCTAATTTTGGTGTAATCTCAGTCTCTATTTTTATTATTGCTCTTATTTCTTTGAATATGCTTTCCCAAAATTTTTGTATAATATTAAATGACCACCACATATGAAGGTACGTCCCTATTTCCTGACAACCTCTCCAGCACTGAGAGAGGTAAGGGGAAGGGGAAGGGGGGGGGGGAACGGTATAATAAAAATAATTATAAAGAAATATAATATGTATAAGTGAATAAAAGGTGTGTGATAGAGTTATATGTAGCATTAGTTGTAATGGAAATTTAAAAATAATGATAAGAAATATGATTAAAGATGTTTTTGAAGTTTATTTACTGTTAGATTGTATATAATATGACATACTCTTTTATCTAAGATACTGTAAAAAGAGAGAAAAATGTATGCTTATACATTTTGTTGGACAAATTTATAAATAAAAACTTTTTAAAAAAAAGGAAGATAGATACTTTTGAACTGTGGTGCTGAAGGAAAATTCTGAGAGGGCCGTGGACCACAAGAAGATCAAACCAGTCCGTACTTCAGGAAATAAAGCCCGAGTGGTCATTGGAGGGAAGGATATTAGAGGCAAAGATGAAGTACTTTGGCCACATCATGAGAAGACAGGAAAGCTTGGAGAAGACAATTATGCTGGGGAAAATGGAAGGAAAAAGGAAGAGGGGCCGACCAAGGGCAAGATGGATGGATGGTATCTTGAAGTGACTGGCTTGACTTTGATGGAATTGGGGGTGGCCACAGTCAACAAGGAGCTCTGGTGTGGGCTGGTCCATGAGGTCACGAAGAGCTGGAAGCAACTGAATGAATAAACAACAACAATGAATCTCCCTTGCACAGACTATAGTCCCAGTAACCAAAGCCAAGTATGAGGAATGCTGAAAGTGGCAGTCCTACAACCCCTGGAAGGACACATAATTCTCAAGTCAGCTTACCTGCCCTCCAATGGTCAAGTAACCCGTTTGCTTCATAATTTCCTGTAATTTCTGATCAATCTCTATACTGAAAAGTGAAAGAAGAAAAAGGTAAACTGTTGTAGAGTTGCACCCATCCATTAAAGAGGGATATATATTCCCCAATGAGGTACAATGGAAGATTAAAGGTTCCCATCCTCAATAAGGGGGTCTAGACAATCCTATGAACATGGACAGCTCCAAATGAGAAAACTCTGTCACCCAACTAAATATGGTGTACATTAAGCAATAGGTTTTATTATTTGGCGAACCAAAGCAGGCTGCAGCTCTTCTGCAAAAGTGACATAGCTTTATATTTAACATGCCTGTCACTCATTTGCTGTATGTAAAAAATAACTCTTTACATACAGCAAATGAGTTATTCAGTTGGCAGAATTAGTGCATTAGTTAATGAGTGTGTTCATATGCATTAATTACCGAACAAATTTCAGGTTAATTTGTTCAAAAACTAATACAGATATGGCAATGAATTTACAAAAACTTCAGGTACAGTAATTACAGTAACATGACTAGCAAATAACCAAATTTCTTGGTGTAAGGTGGAGAGAGGCCATTCAGATCCGAACCTGGCTTTAATCAATGCTGCATAGGTTTATGGATTGCAAATCTTTATGTATTACATTGCTTACCTTTCCATGCTCCTATGCATGAGAAACTGTGGCTGAGGAGGCAAGCCCAGCATATTTCGGGGGCGTGATGGGTGCTGAGGTGAATTCTCCAAAGAGGAAGAACGGCTGCTGCCATCATTGGCTAAGGGAAGCTGCAGGGCTGAGAGGAGGAGGAGGAGGAGATAGTAAGTCAGATGAAGAGGTATGAACACTGGGTTTGGTTTCAAGTAGGATCCACTGCAGCCTAAGTTTTCCACACTGAAGGCAGGAGTGCTGAAAAGACAGCCCGTCACATTCATGAAAAATGTATCAGTATCCTATCCAAGATCTAGGATCTAGATGTTGAATTCAGAAATTATCCTAATTCAAATGTCTGCCTGAAATCCCTTTAGCTGTTCTCAAGTCTCACGGCATCCTTCAGAAAGCGAATCCCTCGGCATACCCTCATGGAGGTGGCTCACACTAATACTGGACAGAGCTTCCCCTTTCCTGTTGTGCAGATGAGCAAAACCTAGTATGAACTGGAGGTGACTATAATACTTGGCAACAATTTAAACCATTCCCATTTTATGGTAACTTTGCAGATTTTATCTTTCTTTGGCTGAGGGGAAGCCAATTTCATAATTGTTTTCTGCTTCATTAAACATTACTTTAAGGTCTCTAAAATGAATTGGAATAATTTACCAGTTTATTTCAAAATATATTTGAAAAACAGCTTCAAAATTCTGAAAGCCTCTATTTAAACAACAATATGATCATATCTCCAATATCTAATGGAGAGATTTCTCTCATCTTTTCTCACTATGTTCTGCTGAAAATGAAATAGTGTGTACACAAGTCTATACATGTACACAAACTCAATGCAGGACAGCTATGAGAACTATCTTGTGGAAAGGTTTTGAAGCACAATAGTGAATGGATAGAGACTACCTGGCCTTTCCATGACAGAACTCTGGCCCCTCATGTTCTCTCCCTGCCCCTAAGCTTCATCAAATTGTTAGCATCTATGAATGTAGCTTCCAAAGATTAGGGATCTGTGGGCTAGAAAAAAAGCCACACTATGTATTAACAGTGACAGACAGAAAAGAGGTGCCTATTATAGCCCCAATAGTTCTTTCACATATACTATATGAAGAGATGACATAGCTCCTGAGCCTTTGTTCACTTGGAGCAAATGAAAAAAACAAACAGGAAGTAGAACCATTTTCATTTAAAATACTTTGTAAGCAAAAAGCTGCTTCTCACAAGTTATCTGACAGGAGTAAGGATGGAGAATGCACCTATTCTTCCCTTGTATGCTGATCAAGAGCTTGAACTAGTATTGAACAGAGGGAATGCGTTGTGAGCTTGAACCAGGAACATTCTCCACTACTGATCTTAGTACAAGTACTTTCGTGGTAACTAAGACTGAAGAAAGCATACCAGGTATAACCTTCTATAGACAGACATAAATCTCAAAGAAGGAACTTTCCATGACATGTACAGCTAGATCAGCAAACTGCATTACACCAAGAGGACTACACACAGGCTAGTGTAGGAAGTCATGCTGCATAACTTTTAGCAACAATGGTTAGTAGCTGAATGGTTAGATCTGATGTCTTCCCAGCACAAGAACTACAATGATTGGATATTGTCTGATTTATTTCATATTTTGTCCTGTGCTCCTGTTCAGAAGATTTCACCTCACTGTCTATCCCTGTGATCACTGGATTTTGGGGGGGAAAATGGCTTATGGAAACAAGGATTGGTGATGAAGCTTTACTGAAGACACCCTTTTCCCCATGATAGCTTTATCAAGAGTGTTTTTCCTTTCCTAGAGGTAGATTTCTCTCACTGCTTGTTGTCTCACCGCTGTTCTCAACTATGAGTGATTTGTAAGTCGGATGTTTGTAACTTGGAGACTGCCTGTATTGGCTTCCACACCATGTTTCTACAAAAACCAAGTCTGCACAACATAATTCACTATTTCTCTTTTCTCCTCAAAGTTGAGATAAATGTTTGAGAATGAATGCCTCCCCTGTGTTTCCATAGTTACCATAGGCCCTCGGCACTAGATTAGTGTCTCTCCTACACCTCTAAGCATCTGCATGCCTCCTGTCCTTTGGGTGCATGTGAGGATTTTAAGGCAGTGATTTGTTTGTTGTTGTTGTTGTTGTTTTAAAAAAAACACAGCCATGTCTGATTCTGTACAGAATACCACTTGATATCATGGCGATTCCTAATTTCCACATTGAAATTGCCTGTTCCTTATAAACCGAAAAGCAATGCATCACGTGCTTATTCAAATGCTGTGCTGGGATCCAAAGAAGCATGGCATGCACCAATATCTGACCTTTTTTCCCTTTGAACAGCTGGCCCTGTTAAAATATCTACAAGCTGCTCTTGGAATTCCTCTCAACTTCAAAAACAATGTGCCTCATGGCAAGGGGAGTTAGGAGACTATACTTTGAAGAAAGCAGGGGAAAAGCCTCCATGACCTCTCAGATTTCATCTTGCAATTCATTGGCTCCTGGTTCTGAGACTGAAGTACATATTTCCTTTACCTAAAACAACAAGTTACCCAAACTGCACCATTTTCTTTGATCCATAATTAAAATGAAAAGGGAATGCATTTTCAGAAATCCACCTCCTTCTTGAATCCCTCTGAAATTTCCCACACAGATTCCAAAGAGAGCCCTACATCGTTCCCCTGGGCCTGCCCCAAAAGATGGAGCAAGGTGAGAGGTGGCATGAGAGGACAACACAGAGGATGGGTTAATCACTGCAGAATATCTTCCTATAAGGATGGGTTAATCACTGCAGAATATCTATTCCCTTAATACTTACGTGACAAAGTAACAACAAAACATACAATCTTTGCTAAAAGAGCACTATAGATATGATCTATCAATCCTTACAAGCTTTGCACTGAAGTCCGTATTATCCTTCTAACAGGGGCTCAGGGGAGACAGGGACACAGAAACTGCAGGTTTCCCAAAGCTATCATACAAAATGACCCACAAAGGGGCCACAAAGTAAGTCTTAGAAAAATCAAGTGCATCAAATCATGTATGTACAGATCAGGAAAGTTCAACAAACTTCAAATAGAACCATCCTTGACTTGAATGACTAAAGAAAATTAATTGAGAGTTGGTTATTTTTGATAAAAAATATTTTAAAGATGTCTGTTCTCATTACTAAAGATAGGAAAACTCTCAAGAGACCAAGAAAAATTTGGGGCACGCGTACATATGCAAGTGGGTGGGACTGCTGCCTGAAAGGGATTTTTTAATATACTGGTAGCAAACAAAAACAAAAGAGGAAATGGAGGGGAAGCATGCAACTAAGACTTTAAAAAATCTAGATTTATTATCAGAAAGGTAATGGTGAAATAATGAGTTAAACCTTTTCCTGTTGCTTCTTAAATACTTTGCTGTAGCAGTTCACACACAAAATCAAATTCCTGCTTCCAAAATGTGTTGCGAGAGCTGGTTTTATGAGCAACGTAACAGGAGACATCAGAGAGTCTCTCATTTCAACCGGTCAATAGCTCAAATAAATAAGCAGGTTTTGACTAGAGACATCATTATTTCATATTAAAAGTAATTATGTCCTAGTTCGAGAACCAGCATAGTGTACTGGTTTTAGTGTTGGACTACGGCAAGGGAAACCAGGAAACCAGGACTAGCCCAACAAACAAAATTATCGGTGTCATGGTTTTTAGGCCTACTCCTGGGATATTTGGGGTGCTGATTCAGAAAATTGTATTGGATAGACCACATCAGCTTTAGTTTCTTAGATATGACGATCATGGTTTTCTATGGGTGAACAGGTGGCAACTGGTAGGAGACATATGTTCAGTATCTCAAAAACTAGAGCTGATTGGGGGAAACTGGTGGCATTTCTTGAATCAGGTCAAATATACCCAGAGACTAGTCTAACCTTTGAGGCACCAAAGTATGTTTTGGCCAGGTTTTTTTTTTTTGGCAACTTAGAATACAAGTGCATTTTAATGGATTTTAACAAACAAAGTTCTCAACAAAACAGTATTGTGTTTTCAACAAAACCAATTACTAGCATAAACCTAAAATAATTTTCAAAGATCACTCAATATTAAAAGATATCATTTTTACTGTACTATCCATGTTCTCCCCAGATAAAGAAAGGATCCTCAGTCTTCATGATGTAATTCTCATTTTACTTTGTACAGCTACTCTACACTTTATAAAATCCATGTACTGGCATATCATGGCTTCCATACTATTTTCTGAGTAGCAATAATTTGGACTCCATTCTGTTAGGAACTCCTTGGCTAGCCACAACCTGCCAGGCCAGACTGGACTATCTGCAACCAATATGTATAGTAACAAACTGTTCATTTAAGACTCTTTTACAATGGCTAGATAAATAGCATAAAATAATTATAGTGAGAAATGAAGTAATAGATCCTAAATTATAGGATCAACATTGTTAAGTAAGGTAAGATGTTTTACAAAATGAAAGATATAGCCCCTCCATTCTGAAACAATTGGAATGCTTTGTAAAAAAAACAAAACCCGAACCAACGTCTAGGGCGTATTGTTTTCCATTCATAATTTTAAAGACAAGCCAATGTTTCAACTGAACTGCCCTGCTCTACATGGTTCCAACTGTTTGGAGCTTTTTGGAAAATCTTCTGCTTGAAATCAGATGGCTATGATCATGATGTAGAGGATTATCAAGTTTTCTTGATAGTACAGAACAGGGGGCAGTATATAAAGGCGAAAATTACACAATCCTAGATGTATAAATGTTTTCCTCAAAAAAACAACACTAATTTACAAATACACAGAACTAGTCTGGCTGCTGTCGTCTGCATCACTACTGCCCACTCCCCCCCCCCCCACACACACACACCAAATTCAAGTAAATATTTCAAAGGTCTCTCACAGACAAATTCATTTTAGTACTGCTCCGCACTCAAGGTCTCAGTCCAAGATGCTTGCATACTAATCTATAGCTTGATCATGCACACTAATCAGCTCCATCTGCCAAACAGATACCCACAGAAGTGGAGAAACCATGCTGCAGAAAAGGTCAATCACTCCAGTATGACCAAATCAGACTATAGTAAAGGGAAAGGAAGTAACTATGGGGGCAGGGGAGAGATAGAATAAGACAAAACAGAAGCAGAGCAAAGCA